CCTCACCCCTCCCCACCTCCACCCAGACCCCCAGTCAGTCCTCACCCCTCCCCAACTCCACCTAGACCCCCACTTGGTCTTTACTGAGGCTGCTTCAAGAGTTTTTCCAAACTCCGTTTTGCCTCTTGCCCCTCCATCCTGGCTGTGCAACGCTCTCCTTCTGGAAGGACATCATATTATTTTCCTGCTTAAGAGTTGCCCTGGTTTCCCCTGCCTCCAGGATGACCCTCGACCTCAGTGTGGTCTCCAAGTCTACAAGGTGTCTGACCTCGTTCGTCTGGGGGCCCAGCCCAGGACACACCCAGCTCGCTCCTGCCCAGACTTTGGTGCTTTGGAGCGTCTTGCTGGCCTTGCCTGCCACCCCCCACCCCCACCCCCGGGGCTGTGCCTATCGTCCGGTGCCCGGGTCAGGTGCCACTTCCTTCTGAGACGGAGCCTGCTCTCGGACTCGGTTCGTCGCACCTTCCCGTGTTGTCACAGCACACGTAGACACCGGGTTTATTGATCTACACACCCTTGTCCTTACTGCGCCCGGCACCTCCAGGGGAACGGGGCCACGTCCTACCCATCCGCCTGTCACCAGGGCCTGGCACTTGGTGGCACTCTGGCCGTGCCCACTGAAGCAGGAGTAACTGCTTCATTTTATAAGAATGAGCAGTAGGCTGGCCACCAGAAAGCCAGAGGGCAAGCCTGAGCTCTGCCTCCCACTAACGTGGCGATTCTTACAGATTCCAAAGAAATTCCTGAACTTTAGCTCCTCGCCCTGTCCTGGCTCCATCTTTTCTGCAGGCCTGTCACCCGCAGCACACCCAGGCGCTTCTCTGGCACGCAGCGCAGGGAGGAGCTGGAAGCCGGAGACCTTGGCCTGACTTGTGCTTTCTGCCCAGGATGTGGGGTCTGGAGCAGTGACATGCGGTGACAGCCGGCATCTGAGGCCGGGGGGTGGGGGGTGGGGGAGGCTCGGGGACCTTGGACATAGTCCTTGACCCGACAGTGGCAGGACCCAAAAGGAGAAGAGTCATTTAGATTTAGGCTAATCAGCATCATGGTTACCCTGATAGAGGACTGACTGCCCGGGTTCAAATCCTGGCCCTAACCTTTGCTAGAAATGTGACCATAGGGAAGCTTCTTAACCTCTCTAGGCCTTGTTTTCGTTATGATAAAATGAGGCTAATGAGTGCTCCTGCAAGTAGACCCTCAGTCAATGTCAGCGGTGGCTCCGCCCTGGACCCCAGCCCTGCTTTCACCATTTCTGGAGAGAGCCAGGGGGCTTGCGGTGAGCCCAGGGGTCATGGCACAATGAGGGCAAAGCCAGCCTGTCCAGGCTAACGGGGCTTCCGCCATTGCCAGGGCAGCTCAGATGCCTAGATGGTCGGGGCTGGCCTCCAGGTGCCAGAGCAGGCGTCTCAGCTGACCTCCACTCTCCAGAAAGCAGAGGGCTTGGATCCCCTCCAGCCCAGAGCCAGCTGAGGGGGCCCTTTGGGGGTGCCGCTGGGGCTCTGCCTTATCAGCCTGACTTTCCTCGGAAGTTCAAGAGAAGATGAAATTCTCCCTGGCTGAATTTTCGGCTGTAGATCACCAGGCCTTGCTTCCTAGGGGCCTGTGGGGGAACTGAAGCCTTCACCCTTTCGGATTGCAGTTGGTTTTCTTGTGTGCCCTGGCCAGGGGCTCCAGGAGGGAGCTGATTTACCGAATTATGGCAGAGCCGCCCCAGCCCACTCCCAAATCATGCCCTGTGATCCCCGAGTTCCGCGTTTTGGGAAAGAATGGGTTAAGGACGTTTTTTCTTTTGTCCCCTTTCCTTTTCCCGAAAGCTTTGGTTTTGCAGCTGTATGCACCACTGTTATCCGAGCAGGGCAATACAGGAAGCCCTCGGGAGCCTGGAATTTATGGGCCTGATGCGGTTGGCATTTTGGCATTCAGCTAATTGCAAAATAATGTGGCATTTAGCCTGGCGCGCGAGGCCAGAAGTGCATCTACTTGGGGCAGCTTGTGACGGCCCTCAGAATGACTCAGGCTTCAACAAAGGGTGTCTGTCCTGCGGGAAATCACCAGAAGAATCCCTTAGCCAGCTTGCTGGGCTCTCGCAAGCGGGGATGGGCAGAGTGGCAGCGGGGGACTCCCCAGACGAGGCCTGCACCCGCTGGTTGGTGATGAGCTCTGCCTCTCGGGAGCTGCTGGCCCCTGGGTGAGTCTGCTCCTGAGTGTCCGGAGGACGATGGAGCGTGAGTGAACGTGGCTGGACGGGGGCTGCAGAGGGAGTGGGGGGAGGGTGCCCTGCCGTGCACACCTGCCCAGGGAGGCCGGAGAGTTGGTGCTTGAGAAAACCAAAACAAAACACCAAAACTAGATGTTCAGTGGACTCCTTGGGATGCCAGATATGAACTGTGCTCTCCAGGGCTTGCAAGGGCCAGTGTTGGGGGAAGTAGATTGCCAGGCCTTTCTTGTTAGGCGCCTCCGGGTGGACCTAAGCTGCCAGTCTAAATGTGCGCATGCTAACGAATCTACTGCAGAAATGTCAGTGGATGCCCCAGGAAGATACGAACCTGGGAGAAATCCAGTAGATCTTAACCAATGGCCCAGGAGATTCGCCTCTGAGATAAAGGAGCAGGCTGCCCCTGGGCCTGCTGGTTTGAGGTGCTTGGCAGGACAGAGCTTTGCTCCTGTGGCTACCATCCCAGAATGCACTTCCCATGCCCAGTCAGGAAAATATCACACCCAGACTCAGAGCCACCCGGAAACCGGGCCAGGGGCGTGAAAGCCAAAGCTAGGCTGAGGATCCCAATCAGGGATCGGGGAGACCCAGGAGGCCTGTCAGACTGGGGGCTGCCTTGATGCTATGCCACATGCCAGCAGGGGCACGCAAGCCGGACAGGTGGTAACAGAGCTTTCCAAAGTAGACAGGCTAGGCAGAAAGGCCTAGTGATCTATTTCTAAAGATTGACCAATGAAAACCCTGGGGATCACCAGAGAACACTGCCCAGTCAAGGGCTGGAAGATGAGCCCCAGCCCCTCGCCCCAACAGGTTGGAAGACCCTCAAGTACATCATGGCCCCAGCAAGGCTGGGCGAGACCTTGTATGATGGGGTCGGGCCTCGTGAATCAGGGCCACGGGATGGCAGCTAACAACTGCAACACAGAGGAGGGTGCCACCTGGGATTTAACTAAACCGGGGGTGGGAGGGGACGGGGAAATCTGCAAAGGACATTATTGGGATCATCCAACCATCAAGTCCGTGCTGACCCACAGCCACCCTATAAACAAGAGCCCTGGGGCGTCGCGGTTGGTTACCAGTTGGGTGCTAACCGCAAGGCAGGCCCTTCAAAACCACTGGCTGTTCCGAGGGAGAAGGCGGGAACTTCTTCCTCCCCAGAGAGTTACAGTCTCAAACTCCCAGGGCAGGTCTGATGGGGTCGCTCTGAGTCGGCATTGTGGGGATGCTTGGTGAAATTGAGACGGGCTGGCTGCGGACGAGAGCACAAACTGTTGTCCGCTGTGGGCGCGGTGTGGCGGTGAGGCCACAAGCAGCTGGGTTTACGCTCACGGCTTTGACCTTGTCGGCTTTGACCTTCTCTCTCCCCAGCTTGAGAACCGCTCCGGGCCGTACGCGCGCCTCGCCTGCCCCGACAAGATGTTGGTGCTCCTCGCCTTTATCATCATCTTCCACATCTCCTCCGCCGCCCTGCTCTTCGTGGCTACCATCGACAGTGTGAGTCTCCTCGCAGCCAGACCCTCGGCATCCTGGCCCCTAGACACCAGGGGGCGGCATGGGGAAGCTTGCCCGGGAGAAACACCCAGGCCTGAGGCTCTGTGACCCAAGGATGGAACGCGGGCAGGTCCCGGTGGGCGAGGCCTTTGTCCCCTTGTTCCTGCAGAGCCCGGCCTTGGGAGCTCCTGAAGGAGCTTGAAAACGATCTGTCCCGACGTCAGAGGTTCTCCACCCCAGCGCTGCTGGCATTTGGGGCTCCAGGCGCCCTCCCACCCCTAGCTGTGCCAGGCGCCCTCCCACCCCTAGCTGGGACAATCAAAACTGTCTGTAGACACTGCCCCCTGGGGACACAATCGGCTCCAGGTAGACCCCATGACCACTGCCCTCCCTGGTCCATGGCTGCTTACCAGCCAGCATGCCCCCCTGGCCGAGCCCTCCCCAACAGTAGTCACCCTGCCCCCCACCCCCTAATACTCAGCTTCTGACTATGAGGCAGGAGTGTGTCTGAAGAATTGCAGTCCCTCGTGGCAGTGAGTGACACATTTGAACTGAGGCCCTCGATGGTCCTCGGGAGTCCCTAGATGGCACGAGATTAAGCGCTCAACTAGTAATTAAAAGTACGCAGTATGAGTATCTCCCCCCCTCTTGCCTGCCCACTGCTGCCTGAAAAAAGGTCAGGTGATCTGTTTCTGAAAGAGAGCTACTCTGCTCTGAAATGCAAGGGGTGGACTGGATGGCAACTCTTTTTTATCTCTTTATTTTCTATTTCTGGCAACTAATCCTTTGGGATGCTGACCCCTGGTCCCAGACACAGAGAGAAAAGCCCCCGTCTTTGGGGCTGCGACCCCCTCAGCCCAGCTCCACCTAGTCCTGTGACCCTGGCCCTCCCCAGAGGGTTCACAGTGAGGCTGCCCTCCTCCACCAATCGGCGACAGGCCGCAGGGCGTCTGTTGAGTGTGGAGTCGGTTTTCATGATCCCAGGACATGTTGCCAGGCCTCAGAAGTAAAACCAAACAGTGGCTGCTGGGACAGCGTAGGATTGCCCCATGGGGCATCGGAGACTGCCAGTCTGTGTGGGAGCAGACTGCCTCTTCTTTCTCACGCAGAGCGGCTGGTGGGCTCGAACCACGGACCTCTCGGTTCCAAGCGGGTGCTTAACCTGCTGCTCCACCCAGGGCTCCTGTGCCAGTGGACTGTGGTGGATGCTTACCAGCTGAATGGGCAGGGGTGTCCAGGGCTGTCGTAGGAGTTCCAGAGCCCTATCTCTTGGCTTGGGGTGGACGGAGAAGGCAGCCCTCTGGGGGTGGGCGCCCCACGCAGGCACTGCAGCACTGGAGCGGACGGATCATTCCCATCCACGCAGCCTCTCCCGCCCTCTAAACATCGTCCTTTTCTCACTGCCCGTGTGGATTGCTTCTCGGGCCCTGAGCCGGTCCTCTGGGTGGTGCAAGTGGTTAGGCACGTGGGTGCTCACAGGCCGGCTGGAGGCTCCAGTGCCTGTCACAGGCCCGTCAGCAGGAAGGCCCCGCGCTCTGCTTGTGAGGGACCAGCCCTGTGGAGCAGTTCCATGCCAGCCTACATGGCAGGTGGGGGGAGAGGCAGAGATGGACATCCCGCTGGCATCTCGCTTCCTGTCCCCTCTCCCCTCAAGGCCCACAGGGCCCTCACTGCTCATGCTTCGGCGGACGGCTGCTGTATTAGTCTGGGTGCTTTAGAGAAACAAATCCACAGCAACTCATGTATAAGAGAGTTTTATGTAAAGAAAGCGCGCATCACGAAAACATCCCAACCCAATGCTGCCCAAGCCCACAAGTCCAACATTAACCCATTAACCCAACACCAGTCCACAAAGTCCTCCACCTCACAAAACAGAGGCAATGATGCCGACTGCAGGAGGAAAGCTGCATCTCAGCACTGGCAGGGGTCTCCACATGGCTGCTCCAGCACCCAGGGCTGCATCAGGGTAGGTCCATGTGGCTTCTCCTTGGGGATGTCTTGTAGGAAGCCAATCTTGCAAGCTGAAGCAGGGAGCTGCTAAGGCAGCTGCACCCTGGTGCGACCATTACAAAGCAAGAGACCCGAGAGCTAGAAAGAGACGAGGCTCACCACCCATTTATCCCTCTGCCTTTCAATTAGCCCCACATGTGTTTATCGGCCAGGTTGGCACAATTAACTAACTCAGCTGCCTCAGTGTCACCCGGGCCCACCCCAGCCCTCAGGGTGGTAACGAGGCCCCGCCCCCCAACGGTCAGCCTGAGAAGAACAGGGTGCTGCGCAGCTGAGGAGCATGCTCCTGACCCACCCCGCGCCATTCTGCTTTGTTTCAGGCCTGGTGGGTGGGAGACCAGTTCTACGCAGACATCTGGAGAATCTGCATCAACGACTCAAACTGCACAGAGATCAATGACACCTATTCTGGTGAGTGCGAGCGAGTCCAGGGGCAGCGGAGAGGAGGAAGCCCCTCGGTATGATGGACGGAGGACAGAGTGTCTTCGAAGATGGGCTAAAGGCGACAACCCCGTGCGGGTGCCACAGGACCGCATCGTGTCCTGTTCATGTCGGCACACACCGGTCGCTGCGAGTCAGAACAGACTCGATGGCACCTGGCAGCGTGAGGGCACCCAGCTGGGACTGAGGACAGAGAAGCCTCCAATCGGGCTTTTCTGAAATGCTTCACTCCCCACTCCTGGCCCAGCGACGGGGCCCCACTGACGGGGTGTACGAGCTCAGTGGCTGGAACCCACCAGCTGGTCCGTAGGCCTGGTGACCTGGTCCTAAAGGCGACTGCCGCAGAAAGCCGACGCGGCAGTTCCACTTGGATCCACAAGGTCCTTAGAGGTTGGCGTCCACTGGGCCGCACACAAGTGACTACTGCAGGGTGGTGACTGCAGCAGGGCCAGCCAGAACTGGGAAGCCCGACTTCCTCACTTCTCAGTTCCTTGGCAAAGCTAACGGTCACTCTGGAAAATTTTCTCCCCTCTTTCATCCAAGCCTCGTCTCTACCTAGGCCCAGAGGCTGGGTCTCCCCATCACAGTGTTAGGCTGGGTTCCTTTTATGGACTGTGGGGCCTTGGGCATATCATTTCAGTTCTGGGAATCCAGCTTCCTCCGCTATAAAACGAAGGCAGCGGCCATGCACCTGCTGTGCCTCCCTCATTAAACAAGCTAAGATACACAAAGCCCAACCCACTGCTGTCTGCCCCCTGGGACGCAGCGATCCTGCACAAGGTTCTCAGGCTGCCAGGCTTTGCAGGAGCAGCCAGCCTCATCTTTCTCCCGAGGAGCGACTGGTGACTTTGAACTGCTGGCCTTTCAGTTCGCAGCCCAGTGCTTACCCCACCACGTCACCAGGGCTCCTTAAGCACACTAAAGGGCTTCGTAGATTAGAAAATCCGACTGAAAGCACGCTCACTACCCTGTCACTGTGTATCCAGCGGCTCTGTTTTCTTTGAGGGGAATTTCAGGGGTGGGAGCCCTGGTGGAGAAGGAGCCCTGGTGGCATGGTGGTTATGCATCAGGCTGCAAACGGCAAAGTCAGCAGTTCAAAACCACTCTATATTAGGCAGGGTTCTCTAGAGAAGCAAAATCAGGACACGTATGTATATATATATATACACACACACACACACACATAGGAATAAGTTTATATATAGTGAAAAAGAATACGAGGGGGTACCAACAAAACCCCAGAATAGCGCTGGGCGGAGCAGAGCTTTCGTAGTGCACATTATTCCAGCTAGGTGAGCATCGAGCAACTCGCCCTGAGCTAGTGCACTCAGTGGCACCGCCTGGGAAGGTTCCCTCTGGTCACAGTGAATTTTTTTGTAAAAGCAGTTTCGCTCGAGCCTGTGTTTTTGTGATGGCCGATTTAAGAGAACAGCATGCAGCCAAGAATGTGCGTCCCTCTCCTGGCAATAAATAGCCAAGTCTCACACTCCAGGCTCCAGAAAGGCCTCGCTGCCCTCATCTGCATCGGTGCACATTCCAAGTGGCACAGCCAGCTGCCATCCTTGGGTCAGGCCCCTTGTTTCTGACGATGGCAGTCAGGAGCTTCGGTTGCTCGGCAGCCCTTCTTCCAGAAGGAGAAGGTGCCTTGGCGGTCCGTGCGGTGTCACAGCTTATCCCTACGCGTCTAGATTAAGATTCTAGCAGGATCTCTCAGCCTGTGCTTTTCCAGCTTTGCTTCTCCTTCTGGGACACGCGCGTTTCACCCAGTCGAGTCTTCCTGCATCACTGCACGTGCCGTGTCCGAACTGGGAAGAGCCGTTCGAAGCCCTGTTCACCCTCTGAGCCTTCCATCCCACCTGTGGAATGATTGTACAAGGTTGTAAAACAGCAACGAAATTAAAACAAAGAAATATGAAAAGAGACTATCGGGCCCGAGAAGCCTAAACTCTAGTTTAAATGTTTCTTAATTGAGGTCAGACTAACATAATATCAAAAGAAGCATTTCAAGTCCACAATTCAGTAGTGTCTGCATCGATAGTGCTGTGTGACGACCACTCTGGCTTGTTCCAGATCATCCTCAGCCCCCAAAAGGAACCCCTGTACCATCAGCAGCCACCCCCTGTCTATCCTCGCCAAGCCCCCAGCCCCTGCTTTCTCCCTCTGTGGATTTGTCTATTCCGGATCCTTACACGAATGTGTCGTCTATTATTGAATTGCCTCCTTTCACTTAGCATAATGTTTTCGAGGTTCATCCACCTTGTCACAGGTGATCAACAAGCCTCAAATCTTTTCATAAAAAGCTTGCCAACCTCTGTTAGAAGGACCTTTCACTGGAGGGCGGTAGGTGCAGGCCCTTTGGCTGCCCTTGTGCTGATCATCCTGCACATGGCCACTGGGACTCCTGCACTCTGGCCGGCGGTCACCTCCACTCCAGAGCAGCCAGAGCCTGCGGAGCCTGAGAGAGGTGGGCCTGCAGACCTGTCTTGGGGGCTTCCAAGACCCAGGGGGCCCCAGGCGGGCCTGGGTCCTCACCATGCGCCATGCCCTCTGCCCACAGACTACACCACCCTGCAGGCCATCCAGGCCTCCATGATCCTGTCCACGGTCCTCTGCTGCATCGCCTTCCTCATCTTCCTGATGCAGCTCTTCCGGCTCAAGCAAGGAGATCGGTTTGTCCTGACCTCCGTCATCCAGCTCATGTCTTGTAAGTAACAGGGCGGGCTTCCCGGCAAAGCTGTCCACCTCCTCCATGCCCCCCACCCCACACGCACACCTACACCTATCCAGTGTGTCCAGGCCCCAGCCCACCCAGCCTGCAGTCTCCACACCTGCCTTCCCTCAGCCCACCCTGGACTGGAGCGTGACCCCCCTCGACCCAGTTTTAGAACAGAAAGCCCCAGTCCTGGGAACCAGTCCAGCTCTCCCCATGGGGCCTTTAGCTGCAAAGCCCAGTGCGTCCCTACAGGGCATAGGCGGTCCTGCTAGGTGAGACCCCTAATTTACATCCCCAGTACGCCTCTGGGCTCTGCTGGCATTTGAAATATTAGTAGCACTGTTTGCAGCATTGCGGGCCCAGAGGACAGCACATGGACAAATGGGTGGTCCAGCCAGCAAGGATGAGAAGGCGGGTGGCTGTATGGTAGGCAGCAACGTTGAGCCACCCCCCGGCCATGGAGTCACTTATGTGGGGTGTCCAAGGCTGTGAATCTTTCTACCATGGAGCGGCTGGTGGGCTTGGGCCTTTTACCACCAGCCCCACCAAAGTAAGACAGCAGCCCCGTTGCCTCTGCATTGGCCTGGACATGGAGTAGAATGGGACGTGGGAGCTCGGCAGGGCTGATTTTCCAGCAGGAGATGGACAGGACTCTCTGAGGAGGCACGTGGGTGGACTGGAATCACCCTCTAGGGAGCAGCCCGGCGTGTGGCCCTGTGCACTGCCCTAGGGTTCTCAGTGCCAAGGACAGCGACGAACGACAGTGTCCCACGCGGCCCCGTGGGGTGGGGTGGGGGGACCGTGATGGACCTGTCTCTGCTTTTCCCCCTGCAGGCCTATGTGTCATGATTGCGGCTTCCATTTACACGGACCGGCGCCAGGACCTGCACGAGAAGAACTTCTTTTTTTACCCCGAGCAGTCGTCCTCCGAGGGCAGATACGGCTACGCCTTCATCCTGGCGTGGGTGGCCTTTGCTTTCACCTTGGTCAGCGGCATCATGTATCTAATACTGAGGAAGCGCAAATAGAAACCCGCACGACCCTCTCCCTGCCTTGCAAAACCCACATGCAGATAACCCGTGTGTATATAACCTCCCCCCGCCCCCACCCCACGGCTTTTCTAGCAAACAGATGGTTTCCTTTAAAAGCCAAGAAAAGAGGTGTGGTTTTTGTTTTTGTTTTTGCATTCTTGACATCAGATCATAGACGATGACGGCGGGGCTGGGATTCAGAGCTGCCGGTCACGACGGTCCTACCAGGCAGAGCCAGAGCGCCGTTTTGCTCAGAGAGATGCTTCATAACCTCAGAGATGTGATGTGACAAAAAGACCAGGAGTCTTGGGACATGCTTCCTCACCCAGCTTCCCCTACCTCAAAACTCTGGGGCGTGGTCAACGGGCTCGGAGGGGCTTGGCAGGGCTTGGCGGGACACAGCTCCTCAGATGGTGTGCCCAAGGGCCTGTGAGAGGCGGGGGAACCACTGACGTGGCCCTGCAGTGGGCGGGGGATTGGCTGGCTCAGAGCCACTCAAATGGCTGGCCTTTGCCAAGGTAGCTTTCACCCTTGGTATCAGATTGAGGCTTAGCCTCAAGCAAAGACTCTCAAAATGTGATCCCAGTGCCCCTTTAAAAGGCCAACTCTCAAGCCCCTCCTCAGGCCTGCTAAATCACAGCTTTGCGCGGGAGGCGTGGAGCCTGCATTTACAGTGGGCTCCTCGGGTGTGCTTAAGTACCCTCAAGGCGGCAGCAGCAAGGCCAGGAGGGCGGGCAGGGCTGCCTCGCTCAGGTTGGGAATGGGGGCCTAGGTCAAACTGCAGGTCAGAATGGTGGCCTTTCTTCTTGACCGCCTCTTCCATGGCTGTTTACATCCGGGCCACTTAACACCAGCTCCGGGCCATGCACCCCTGCAGCCAAACACCCTGGGATGCTGCCTGCTCTCGGACTAGCCTGGAGGGCCTTGCACTCTTACTCTCTCCGTGCCTTGGGCTGTCCAGCTGAGTAGCCTATAATACCCTTCCTTCCCCCACCGTTTCTACAGCCTCAGAGAACCCATCTACCACCGTCCATCCTCCTATCCATCCATCCTATCCATCCGTCCATCCTCCCATTAGAAACCACCAAGCGCTGGCTGTATTCCAGGCACAGAAACAATCTCCTCTGGAGGCTCACAGTCTAGTGGAGACAGATTAAAAGCCAATTAAGAAAAATAATTACAAACTGAAACAAAGACTGCACTGAGCGCCACCGTGGATTGAAAACAGAGGCCGTGGGATGGTTTGGGGGTGGAGCACCTGCTGGCCACCCTACCCGCAGATGACATTTGCTGCAGTGCCCGAGAATCACCCTCAGAGAGGCCTTCCTCCTGCTCTGGGCCTCAGGGTGGGGACTGGTGAAGAGAGCTTGGGGCTCAGCCTTTAGCGGGGGATCTGATGGGTAGGGTCTGGGTGGAGCCTGGGAGGACATATGAGGACCAGTGGGTTTGTCCTTGGGTGTAAAAGCGCTTGGCGATGCAGGTGAGCCAGGAAACGCCCCGAGGGAGCCGGTCTTCCCACCTGGCTGCCCTTCCCCCTATTGCTGGGGGTGGGCCGCGTCCATCACATCTCTGCACTGGTGCTATTGAAACACAGTTGCACGTGACCTTCTGTTAGTGGAATGAGGATCTGCCACCACCCTCCCTCCTTCCAGTGGGATTGTGGTGGTGTGTCTTCCTGGAGAAGTCTGGGGACCACGGGACACACCTTCTCAGTGCGGAACTGGATTGTCTCCCCACTCACTTAATTTTCAGCAAAAGAGTCTTGAATGCTTATTCCTTTCCAGACCCTGTGTGAGGCTGTAACAGAGCTGGGCAGATTCCAGCGCCCTCCATGCCCTTGCGGAGTGGACAGCCTCTACCACAGGGCCCTCCCGGTGGACAGGTTGCTAGTACAGAGCCGGGTGAGCTGGGGCCTGGGGCAGGGCAAGCTGACCCCTCCTGCCTCCAGGGGTGTGGGTCACTCTCCTAGAGTCTGCCAGACGATGCTTGAGCCTTGTGGAAGAAATTAGGTCTAAAGCTCCCCCCCCACACACACATACACCCTGGCAACCCGGGACCACAGCAATGCATGAGTCCCCCACCCCACCCCCAACCGACCCACAGGGGTACAGGAATATCTGTCTCCAACATGAGCCTGTGGGTTTCCCTGGCTGCTGTCTCTGCCCTATGGCACCCAGTGGTCACCCTGCCTGGGAGGCCTTTCCCCACCCTGACGCAGGAAAATGGAGCAAGGTGGGGTGTGGGGAGAGATCCTGGCCTTCCCACCTGCGGAGAGGCCGGCGCTCGCCAGATGCACAACGGAAACTAGAAATTAGCCACGACCCAAACATTAGGACCAAGTGTATCCCCTTTCTGTGGCCACGACTGCGCGTTTGATGACAGTTTATCAAGTACTGTAATTCTTTCTGTGGAGGACGCACTAACTCAGCTTTTCATTTGCATTAACACTTACCTTTACCTGGGTCTCCGCCCCCACACGTTTGGAGAGTGCGGGGCTTGTCGCTTTGCATCCGTGACTGTGGGGGACCTCAGGGACCGGCTCTACACCTGCACACTCCCTGCTCCAGGTGGCTTACCTGTATGGCCCACCCTAATGGACACGCTCAAGTTAGGATGCTCCGGATTACACCATGATGAAGAAACCTGGGGTCCCAGGCCTGCAGGTCTACCAAACCCAGTTGCCCCCTTGGGTGCTGCAACGCAGTTTCAAACCTGCCTGGGTGGGGACCGAGTCACACTCTCACTCGTCCTGCAGTCCAGCAAGTAGTACACCTGTGTGCGCTGGGAGACAGCCGTGACGGGGGAACGCCAGGGACAGGCCTAGAGGCTGAACCTGAATCTTGGTTTGGGAACAAATGTGATTTTAGGGGAGTTAGGTTTTTTCTACTTAATGTGCCTTTAAAATAGCCCATTTTCTATGTTTTGTATAATCTGAAAGTGTACATGAAAAATAAACCTGTCAAACCAAATTGCTGGGAACAACAGACTTGCCTTTGTCCAAATGTGATGACGTTTGGGGGCGGGGGTGGCGTGTGTGTGTGTGTGTGTGTGTGTGTGTGTGTGTGTGTGTGTGCAGGGAAAGCCTTTTGGAAAGCATGGGGTCATTTGGAGTTCTATTCGAGATGCTAATGGATGGTGTTTCCAGCAAGCAACTGATGGCCAGTGAATTTCCCTGGGATAGTCTCCCTTGGCTTCGTGGGTGAGGGACCTGTGTGGCCACATGGGAGCCCACTCCTGAAAGGGCCTTGTCCTTGGCTGGCACTGAAAGGGCTCTGTCGTGATCTTGGTATTCCAGACAAGCAGCACATGTCCTTTGGCGCTGGTTCCAACGGTGGGTGCAGGCAGTTCTGTCCTGGACATTTAACAAGCCCCGTGGGCTCTTAAGACTGTAACTCTTTATTGCAAGAGACAGCCCTGTCCTCCTCCTATGTAGCGGCTGGTGGTTTCAAATGGCTACAAAGGAAGGATCTATTTCCTTGCCTCTACATAGGAGTTGCTGAGCAAAACCTCTGGGCAGCCGTGGTCCACATTTGCGTTTATAAGAGTTTGTTTGGTTTTGTTCTCTGCATCAGCTTGACTAGAGAGACAAATCCAGCGACACTCGTGTGTGTATCAAAAATGGCTTTATATCAAGAAGTCATTATTTATCAAGAAATCATCTCAGCCCAGTCCAATACAAGTCCATAAGTCCAATACGAGTCCATAAGCCCAATTCTAGTCCATAAGTCCAATGAGTCCATAAGTCCAATACGAGTCCATAAGTCCAATACGAGTCCATAAGTCCAATACGAGTCCATAAGTCCAATTCTAGTCCATAAGTCCAAAATGAGTCCATAAGTGCTATGAGTCCATAAGTCCAATACGAGTCCATAAGTCCAATTCTAGTCCATAAGCCCAATATGAGTCCATAAGTCCAATGCTAGTCCATAAGTCCAATACTAGTCCATAAGTCCCCATTCAGACTCAAGCAGCCACATGCAGTGATGCAGAATGCAGAAATCACGGGCTGGTGGGTGCAGAGTCCTGTGCATCCAAGGTCAGTGGAAATGTGGCAGGGCACCGGCAGCTCCCAGGGTGAACAGCAATAGGAAAGAGAAGGGGGACAGAGAGGAAGAGGCCCGTTCTCTGTCCCAGTGTCCTCTATGAGTAGGCCACACTCCCAAGGAAGCCCCAACAGGCTGTGACCTGATTGACAGGTCTGACTGCACCCCGAGCCTAGAGTTGACATAAAGTCATCTAAGTACCAGTCTCCTTGGCAGGTAAGTGGTAGTTACCTTGCAGCATTCAGCTTTATGTTTCTTTCATTCAGGAAGCCAGGCCTAAAGTCCAGTGATTCATCCAACAAATATTTATGTACTCACTATGGCACGAGCATTGTGCTGGGTGGCAGGGACAGAATGATAAACCTGGTCCATGCCAATCTCAAGTTCCC